CGCGTCCTATTATTATTACAAAGAAGACGCCCATCGGTATATAAGGCCTACCTGATCCACAACAACAGAGCAGATAACACACAGCAAATGTGAAATGAGACACATTAAACGCAAAGTACAATCAGGGCATACGCAGATTATGAAAAATACATAGGTAAACTTTTACCGCCCTCGTCTCATCCATACGGTACGACTAAATCAATATAGCAAACACAGAAGGCGTATTTCATGCAAGTAAAATGCGTTATGGATTTTGAAATACAAATAGAAACCAAAAGAAGTGTACGAAGTGTCACGCAGGTTCGCTGGCCAGCGAGTTGCGAACGTTGGTTAAGCTATGTGCACTTGTAGGTGGACAAGGCGAGTCTTTACAAACACGTGAGTTACCCTATCGAGATTCATACGACCAGTAACCAACAAGTAGTATTCTATTTGCGATATTTTATACTCCGGCCACTTTATGTGGCCATCTAGTGTAAACTGCACGGGATCAGTCTGCCAATAGAGTTAATGGAGTCCACTGAAACCGTAAGTCCCTCGTCGTAAAGCCTAAAATTATATATCCACTGTTCAGACTACACAGCATCAACTAACTGACAACGCTAAAAACCGTAAATATATAATCGAATTCTAGTAGGCAGCAATCAGATTAACAAACAAAAAGCTGATGACAGAGAACCACCACCCATTGACAGTTAGCCAAAGTTAATCTTACCCTTTCATTGAATTGTCTGGCTTATTTGTCGCGTATAATATCCTTTTAACGTTCTTCGTTAGATCACTAATATACTTAAAATCAAGTAGCGAGCTAGACAGGTGCATTAATCCCAGCTAGCATATTCCTTCCGAACGGGTAGACTAGTTGACTTGACGTCTTCCTATGACTGCCTATTGTTCAACACAAATCTTGCCTCCCCACGCCAGCAGACACGGAGAAGTACACGTGCCTTTGCACTTAACGATTTGCGCTAAATCCTAAGAACCCATTGGTTCCTCGGGCAAGAAAACCACGCCCACCAGTCGACCCATTGGCTGAGTAAGCCATAGTCTGCTGCACGAGTCTCTGCTGTCACGTTGCTGCCTGCTTGCTCTAGAGCGCAAACAGAAGTGTCCGCTGTCATAACGCATCGTAATATGCCAAATAAGTGCGCACGTTAGATCGGGTATTATGCTTGTAAGGCGGAAATTAAAGGCTAACAACTATCAATTCAGACCAGGTGTACACGTTAGTTATGTGATCGTTGACATTAATAAGCTATTTCTTATTTTCTGTTATTCTCTATGACCAGTCTGCATTTGTAAATTCAATTTAAATTACTTTAAACATAATAATTATTTAATTAAACATCAAATTTATAAGCGCCTTTAATTAATACACGGTTGAAGAACCTTGCGTGGCATTATTATTTACACATATTAATTGCCCAAATTTTACTTCTGCACATTAGAGCTATATATTACATTTTAAATAAATGTTGTCATTTAAGAAACTAAAAAAGATTAACGAAGACGACATTATGTGTGAGCTTTTCGTTTTGATGATAGAGATTTTACATTTAAGCTGCAACATTTTTAGGCCATTTCCAAAGGTATTTCGACACTGACACTGTTTACTATATTAGTTTACCATGTCACTTAGCAGTTGTAAAGCAGAACGACATCCTGCTGGCGTACGCTTTTTAAGCGCACCGCTGTTGGTGTCATTACGGGACGAAGCAGTCCTCGCATGCAGAACTCCACGTGTTAGACCATGACGTTGTTTAGTTTATTCCTTGCCCACCCCAAGAAGTCACGCGGCTCTGGGAGTGGAGGGACAACGAATGCTTGCAAAGAAGAAGGCGAGTGGAAGTATCTCCGTTAGCCTTCTGTTTAGTGGAAGTCTTCTGTGAATATGTAAATATTGTGAGATCCAAATGTAAAACCTGGTGCAGGTTGAATCAGTAGGCACTTAGTTTTGCTTATACAGACATGAAATTGCAATTTATATTATCCCACATACCCAAAACACATGTACAGAACTCTTTTCCCAGGCAGCTGCACTAAGTAAAACTCAACCATACATATTCTGGTCACCCTGCTAAAGAGCACTAGTCACATAAAGCCTAACGATCTTTTTCAACAAACTCATTACTTTGAGCAGCCTTATACAGTAAACAATAAGATATATTTTTCCCCACTGGAAATGAGCATCAAAGAAGCACATGCTTACAGATGGAAGTTCACTTGTCTAGTTCCAGATTTCAGAGGACATTTTCCATCAGGAACAAGGGTGTTCCTGATGATTTGAGTGCAAAAAATGAGTGACAGGTACAAGATCCTCCCTTCCTTGCAGGGCTGTGCAGACTCACTCTGGTCTATAATACTATCAGAAGGAGAATTAATGGAAGACTAACATATCTGGCTATCTGTATACTGGTTGGTGTTGCAGAATAGAAATACACATTGCATTTACCCAGAATAACTTCTCAGTCAAACCCTTAACTAGGCTGTGATTTGTCCATATGGCTAAGGGCACAATCTCCAATTAAAAGCATTTTACCACATATTGATAGTATTGCAGAAGGCTGGTGTGCAGCTGCTGTGGTGTAATTTTTGTCTTTTAAGGTTCTAAAGTATATTAGTTGAGATAGAAAAAAATAATACAATGTCAATGGAGAATCATGTTCTGTTGCTGGCTCAACTCATGATATACTGTATATCATTTCCTTACCGATGATGGTGATGATGATGATAAACACGCATATTACTCCCAGAATCACCTGAAAGATATAAAGGAAATAAACAGAGAAGATGCAGATTTATGAATATAGCCTCACTAATATTATTGTTTTGTTTCAAACTATGAGTGTCAGATGATTTTTGCTGAAAGTTAGACACAATACAGGTGCCTGAAATTATGTTTATATTAGTCTAATTAAGATGATCTAAGGTCTATCAAAAATTATTGTTTTTCACAATTATGGGGAAATTGTGTCACATGAGGTCCTTGATAACAAATGTCATGTTTACATAGATGGTTTGACTAATCATAGCTTTAGGCTATTTTGAATAATGCAAAAGGTAAGAATATAACTAGTCTAGAAAATCAGTACAATTTTTAGTAGGAATCAATTTTTCGTATCAACATTTGGTGTTTTTTTTCATATATGTAATATGAAAAATGTGTAAATTGCAGGTTATAAACCATATTAATTCTGAATTTTTTTTTAACCAAACACATTGTTCAAATAATTGTCAAAAAGAATTCCTTAGCACAGATAATATTTTTATGCTTATTCATTATGCAGTGCAGAAGTATTTTGTTGCAACAATTGCACCTACATTGTTTAAGGTCATAATTTAAGTATTCCCGGTTACTTTGCCACCTGTTGCTTGTGTTAAAAAGGAAGACTGCTTTTTCTCTGTATGATCTTGAGTAGACAGTATTTAGACAGTTTACAGCCTTTGGAACTAGGCATCTCCATTTCAGGATCACTGCCCGTCTTGCCATGTTCCATGCGCTTTTTCCCTGTTTGGACAGCAGGTCCCGCTGGCTGTCCAGTTTGGTGTTAAAAGCACCTTCGGTTAAAAAAAAGAAAATCATCTTTGCTAACAGCATCTTTGATAATCTTTGCTAATAACTCAAACTTTCAATGTGGACATACTTTGAAAACTGATCACTTAGTACTACACCTTTTCCAAGAGAAATTCAGGACCTAAAGAAAGGTAAATAAGCAACATGTTCAATATTGTATTTTTGTTCCATATAATAAAGTCAAGTATGTGTAAACCAGCGTCTGGAATAAAAGATTTATGTATTATGCCTGCCTATGGATTTGTCATTTAATGGACATCTGTTAATCCAAGTATCTATAAGGCCTGCACATAGGACCGCGGGGTCTTTCTGGTTAATTGAAAATTAAATATAGCCAGTCGTGACAATCATCTTCTTACATTAGAAATTAAGACCATTTGCAAAACTTAAGATTCAAGGGTATAGATTTGGGCATGAATGATAAGGATCCTACCAGGATCGTGGGAGCACCGGGAAGCGGGGCATTAGGGGTTAATCACACAAAATCTCCTCCCCGATCGCGAAAATTTACCGAGAGAGACTCCTCACCTCCCCGGTCAGTCACGACCACCTTTTCTAGCACCTAGCCCTAAAAAATGTCTGTGCACGTCACTGCGCATAACTGTTTAATGAAATTGTGGACTGGTGTTTTGCCTACTAGGTATATAGAACGCCCAGCTGCAAGGGTTCTTTCCCTATTTGAAACATCTCCTATTGGAAACCGGGGGTGGGGATGGGTCCCCCTCAGGAGATTTTGGTTATCGAAAAATGAGCATTTGTAACATCACATGATGGATTTTCATTAGTTCAGGCAAAGGGGATCGGGAGCTCAGGCACCCCCAACTACCACCTCCGAATGTACCTGCTGGGATCTGCTAATGAAATCTGCTAACAGCACCGCTCGAAACTTACACATGAACAGATACCCTTCGTCATTTGTCATCCAGAATTAGCCAGTTTGTCTGTTGAATGTTTTCAAATAATTCAATATAATTGGCTTGTTAATCGACTAAAAATACACAACTTTTCAAAACAGATCAAAACTGGATGTAGCCGAGGATGAATACTCAGAGAAAATATAATCAACCATAAAACAAACCAGCAAATTAAATGTATTAGTTAAAATTGGGACCTTGAGTTTCCATATACTTGTAGTGTTTGTACTCTAGGACTACGGTTTTCATATATATGTAAAAGTACTGGCAGCGGTGGGATTCGAACCCACGCCCCCGAAGAGACTGGAGCCTTAATCCAGCGCCTTAGACCGCTCGGCCACGCTACCACGTCATATGTAACTCAACAAGTATGTAAACAAAGTGCAATGCAAAACTTTATAAACTACAATACTAAACATATTCAGTCGCCGAAAACTATAAATTTACGTTAGGTGGTACTACAGCTCTGAATGAGACTTGTCGACTTTAATGACATAACGAGTTCGAGACGGTTTCTTGACACATGGCAGTTTATGTTAAGTACATGTATAAAACGTTAAACTGACATACAACCACATTAATTGGATATATACAACAATGAGCTTCACATACTAGACACATGAATACGCATTTACTGACAAATATGTATTAAAAAAAGTTATTCCTGCTAACAACACAACTTCCCGAGATTATTCCTCTGCACATTGTTTCTTGTTTTTCTAAGCATAGTACCCGCTGCACCACTTTGAATACTGGTTTCCACTGCAACTGAACTCCTAAGTAGCATATCAAACTGCTGATTTAATCATCAAATCCGGGGGACCATTCCTTCTACATAACTAAAATTAGCATGCAAAATATTCCAGCACCATTTAAAATTAGTCAATGAACTTGTGAAATTAGTGTCTTTACACTTTTTCCCTTTGTACAATCATTTACCAATTAACCAATCCTTGAAACACTGACTAGCTAAAACAATTATGTAACCAATTATTGACAAACATTTGTACAAACTTAATGTATTTAAAAGGCAAAAAAATCTCTCCCCTCCATTCCATGTCAGTCCCAGATAAATATATACCATAGTTTAAAATAAAACCCAAGATATTAGAAATTCAGTTGTAATTTTTGCATAATAATAAATTTTATGCAATGGTTTATATTCAAACAGCATTGCAATGAAGGGAGAATTAAGCACTGAGCTGCAGTGAAAACCAATAGGACACCAGACTGAAGTTTGAGATTAAACAGCATCGCTTCCAGCAGAGAACAGGCACTATATCCAGCCTAGGCCTTCTTGGGTGTGTAAACAGGAGGGAGGACTCTGCGGGAGTTGGCCCGCACCCAGGGGTGGTTCATGACGCCTTGCAGTGAGAGTCGTGCAGAGGGGCTGTGGCGTAGCAGCTTGGAGATCAGGTCCCGGGCTCCGTCTGAAATCACGTTGGGGAACTTCAGGTCCACCTGTCCAGCGGAGCACAGATGTAAACTTAACTACAGCTCTGGGGCTGATTTCATTTAATGGGACAGGAGGCTATGTTTATAGAACGTTTCAAATTAATACGCACAATGCCTCTTTTCTGCATACCACATACTCTGGTCGCAGACGCAGGCTTTCTGTAGTACTCCTGGAAAAGGTAAACTAAAACATCCAGTTGAATAAGTGGGCATCTTTGACTAAACGTCAAATTTGCAATACATGTAACTGAGTTACATTGGAGCATGTTAATATACTTTAAATTTCTGACCATCAATCAGCATCACTAATGGTCTGTTCATACTTGTTGACATGCAGTTCTCTGCAGTTGAACGACTGGAGCGCCAAGATTTTGTGTCTGCGTAACCACTAACTGCACTGGTCCTCACCTACTTGCTCATGACTATTTTAGAGTAAATTAAGAACATTCTGCATGACCATCATTACTTACCAAATAATAATAATAATAATAATAATAATAATAATAATAATAAATAATAATAATAATAATAATAATATAAATACTACTGCATGCAGAGGACCTGCATGATTCTGGGGTAAATATGAATTATGATTTTTTCACTCAGAAATAAGACTGCAATTTTCTCTCATGATGGTTGAGCAATATTTCTTCTTACTGTTATGCAATACATTCTTTATTAAGATGGAACAAACAATATGCAGAGATGCACAAAATATTGGTTAAGATACTGAAATTTGTTTGATATTTAAACTTCATCAACATTCAAAGCTAGAAAAAAGTACCGGCACGTGAAATATTTAGAAATGTGGCCTGTAGATTATTTTGTGAAAAAATAAAAATAATCAAAGCCATTCGGCTAATCTGTGCCTGCAAGCTTCACTGCTTTTTCTGAATAAAAACAAAATGTGACTCAGGCCCTGTTCACACCTGGTATTAACATGCGTCCTGGGTGATGCGATCAGCAATGGACAGCACTAATCACAGGTGTGAACGTACCCAAGACCCATTGAAGATGCATTGAGATCAAATTGCTCAAACCACACTCGGAGGTGGTCGGGACACACATGGCCACATTCTTACAGCAGTGTGAACGCAAATGTGTCCCAGGCCACATTGAAGGACCGCCTACTCAACAGACATCCTTGTGTGAGTGGAAGTTCGTATGTACTCATTTAAATGCCTGAACGGTATTTGAGATTGGATTTGTCGGATTTGATCATTGTGTAGTGAACTGCTGTGAACAATGCATCTTTTCCCTACAACACCAAAAAATAAGTTTGAATCTGCTGGGAAGCTGGTTTAATATTGGACTGGCGTGACTCATTTGCATGGAAATGCTGTGAAAGTGCACATTATTAATGTTCCCCACAAATTAGATAAGAAATGATTTGATATTTTAGCATTTTCACAGGTCATGTATTTAATGCACACTTTCATGCAGCTTACTTATGCTAAAGCTGCTCCATGCTTTATTGATATTGTTGAAACGTGCCAATAAAACAGGGGTCACCAACTCCGGTCCTGGAGGGCTACTATCCAGTAAGTTTTCAATCCTACCTGGCTTCTGATGACCCACACCTGCTCCTGGTATTTACCTGAGAACTAGTGTGGCTCATCAGAAGCCAGGTAGGATAGAAAACCTACTGGATAGTAACCCTCCAGGACCGGAGTTGGTGACACCTGCAATAAAAATTACATGAACATAAAATTAATGCGTGCAGGTAAGAATGTGCATTCAACAGCCTAGATCATGCATTTGTTAATAAAAACCTATGAAAGTAGGATAATTGTTTATATAGCTTTATATTGGGCTGTCTTGGGGCTTGAACTTCCTGTCGGAAAATTCAGTCCCACTCCGGCCAGGACGACTTCGCTTCTTTTACTTAACTTGCTCCAAGTCAGACATACAATCAGGGGCGGATTAACGCACAGGCTAGATATGGCTTAAGCCTAGGGGCCCCACGTGTGCCAGCCTGCAAGGGGGGCCCCATTGGCGCGGAGGGGGGCGGGGTTGGGGGGCCCACAGACTACTGTAGCCTAGGGGCCTCTGTGCACCTTAATCCGCCCCTGCATACAATTCAGCATCAGACAAAACACTGAACTACTTCATTGAAATTTTCACAAATTTTGAGCTTCATTGGTTATGGTTAAAAGCTGAAATGTCATCATATGCATTACAGACTGAACCCTTTGCCCTCAAACGGAATATTTGCCTCAGTACTTCTTAGCACCTTTAACACATGCATTTGTACTTTGTTGACGCGGTATAAAAAATGCATGTCTACAACATGAAAAGTTGAAGTTTACTGTGAAATATAGCTTGAATTATTTAAGAAATTACATTTGCATTATATGAAATAATATTTTATGAGTGCCTAATGAAAATCACAACGTTATTACAAAATACAACTTAAAGATCATATGTAAACGTTAAGAAATTGAATGCCCTTTATGGAATTATGTAAAAATAAAAGGACACATTAATGAAATATTTATTCATTCATTCATTTATAGATATATTTATTCATTTTAAAGCAGTTTGGTTATCCTGGAATGTGCCAATAACTTTTTATTTCTTCTTCTCCTACTGTTAATGTTTGGCAGATTCTGCATATGAAAGTGATTACATAAGAACATAAATTTACAAACGAGAGGCGGCAAGCTCGTTTGGGGAGAACTTAACTAATAGCTCAGAGTTGTTAAAATCTTATCTAGCTCTGATTTAAAGGAACCCAGGGTTTTAGCTTCCGCTACACTAGCAGGAAGACTATTCCATACTCTAACTACATGCTGTGTAACAAAGTGTTTTCTCAAATTCAGTTTAAAATGTTCTCCCGCTGATTCACATGCTTATTTCAGTAAGTTGCAGGAAAGTGAGATTCTATTACAAATGGTTGGTCTAGACGCATGCGGAGACACATGTTAATACCAGGTGTGAACAGGGCTTCAGTATTCCTTATTGGGATATTCAAACCTGTCTTGAGGGAATTTAAAAGGATAAGCTACTATTGTAGGATGAAAATGTATAATACTTTTACTTAAATATTTTTTCCACTTTTACTTCAGTACTGTTTTACCAGATGACATTTACTTTTACTTGAGTAACATTAATATGACGACAAATTCAAAATAAGGAACTCAAAGGATCTACTTTGCCTAAAGTTTGCTGAGATTTTAGACTCTCCCCAGTATCATGCTCACCTTGGTGATGCGTCTGTAGGTCTCTGTGTGGCTGGAGGTCTCAAAGGGGGGGTTGCCCACCAAGCACTCGTAACAAAGCACGCCGATGCACCACAGGTCCACCTTCTCATTGTGGGTGTGCCCCTCAATCATCTCGGGTGGAAGGTAGTCCAGTGTTCCACACATTGTTCGACGCCTGGTTGGGGAAAGAAAGGACTTGCACCCATTTTCTATAGCATGTTCCCAGAAAACAGGGCTAGTTTAAAGAATGAAGGAGATGGAAAACAGTGGGAGACTGACATCTCTTTCTGAAGTCTTGTTACAAACCCCAACTAACCTAGACCATTAATGACAGAGATATGGGCACTCACCGCAGGGATGGTGCGTGGACCGACCAACCGAAATCGGCAATCTTTAGCTCCCCACGAAAACCGAGCAGGAGGTTTTCAGGCTTGATGTCCCGATGAATGACCTTCTGCTCATGGCAATATTGCAGTGCATCGGACAACTCCTCCATGTACTGATGAGTATTAACATCACATAAGACTACCGTCAATCTGCTTCCTAAGTTCCATATGCTCATTTCTCTCTCACTCATTAAATGCAGTACCTGAGGAATGCCCAGAATGGAACAAAAATCTGCATCTCCACACTAGGGCTGGCCGATATCATATCACTCATGCACAATAATCAGCAGGGCTTCAGATGACAAATGGCCAAATGTTGCACCTGTCATCTGAAGCCCTGGTGATTATTGCACATGCGCAATGCAATATCGATATGATATCGCAAAGCCCTACTCCCTACGTGCCATCCCCCTTCCCCTCTGCCCCCACTCACTGTAGCAGTGCGCTGGTCATCGAAACGGCCGCACCGCTGCAGCTCCTTGTACATCTCACCCCTTGGGGCATACTCCAGAATCAAGAACACCCGTGTTCGGTCATGGAAGTAGTTATAGAAGCGTAGGATGTTTGGGTGTCTGGGGGGGCGATTGGGAGAGAAAAGAATTAAAATTACAAGTGGGAACATGGATGGACATGGATAGACAGACACACATACAAATGAGTCGTGTTGCCTAACAAATTAATCTCTCAAGTCACAAAGCAAGCATGTGGCAAAAATGTTTAATGGGCCAACCTGAGGTGGGACTGGATCTCAATCTCCCGCCGGAGCTGATGCTCCACCCCCTCCTTCTCAATCTGGGACTTGAACAGAACCTTCAGCGCCACAATGAAGTTCAGCTTGCGCTCGCGAGCCAGGTAGACATTCCCAAACTTGCCCTTACCCAGTGGTCGACCAATGTCAAAGTTCTTAATAGAAAACTTTCTGAAATAAGAAAATTAACAGCTGTTGTAAACTTATGTTCTAGTTGGTCTAAATGATTCCAGCATAAGCACATTGTTACTTTTAGCAGTTTAGCCCCTTTTCCACTGAAACTCACATGTTTTGGTTTGTGCCAGTAACAGAAGTCGATGCCGCAAAGCCAGGATCTTTGAAAAGACGAAAAGATTGATTTGCCACAATGAGCAATTGATTATGTGAAGAAAAATAATGAGTCTTAGTCATACATAAGCATTTACCCTTTTCACCGGCTGCCATGGTCGGGTACCGCAACACTCGCTGTGGACCCATCACTCCCGTTGGCTTCTTGAACTGTGAGGAAAGGAAATCAAGCGGTCAGTATGCAAGATGACCGCGAGATGCAGTAAAACAAGACAGACGGGTCCGATTCTATGCGGAACCTTGCTACTGTTGTACAAACCAGCGAAATTCGTGTCCCCGGCGAGCCAAAACAAAGTAGTTCACAATTCTAGCAATAATGTTATTAATACACAAGCAATCTATCTAAAAAAGACTAAATGATACCGGCGCGCATATCGTTGGCCTACCTCTCCCTGGATCCCTTTGGGTTCCTGATTCTCTTTATTCTGTTTGGATACATCAATGTTCAATATTATGTTTCTCGGATGACAAGAATGTCGTCACTAACATGTAAGAAGGCAATTAATAAGATGGGTACTTTACTTTTAATTATCTGAATCCCAAGAAAGGATAAGTCACTTTAAGTATAAAAGAGACACATTTAGTGCATCCATTTAGTTTCGTGCTCGTTTAGCTTTGACTTTTCACAACTCGCATTTAACTATCAAACGCTAATAAAACTAAATGTGCATTACTAATTACCTGCATGATGGCGTTACTTGAGAGCTATTCAAATATTAAAGAAAACAATAATAACAATAAAAAAAAAGAAACCCCCAAAACGTTACAAGCCAAACTTCTGACTGACAATCCACCGCTAACGTTTTCAAACGCAGTACTTCTCGATGATTGGCTACAGCAAAGAAGAAACTATGCGTTCATTGGCTGAAACGTCACCCCAGCAAAGCACAGGAAACCCTGCGGCTGGCTGGATACATGTTAATCATTTTGAAAAACACCCTTTAAAGGTTTAAATAAAATATTAACTCATATATCCAGTTTTCAAATGTAGTCAAGGTATATTTCAATTTAAATAAATATATAAATAAAATGTTTTAATTGTCAATTTTCTTAAATATTAAAACTGTGAATTGGAGAAGTGACTGTTGGAAGGAAATCCACTGGCCAGTGGATAAATGAAAGCTTAATTTATATAAAATAAATCTATGTGTCGTTTTAAATCTTATTTTAAACCATTGAGAATACTATACATACAATAAATAGAAATAATAGAGAAATTGTCATTCTCACCACACGATGGAGCCAATAACCTCCAGGTTGTGTGTATTCCGTTTCAAACACTTATAGTATCAGATAATTCTCAAATGATCATTAATACAATCACAACAGTGCGTGCAATTACTATTTTTATCTTGATCCATGACTGTATAATTATTTTACCTGACATTTGGTGAAGCTGTTTCTGATAACCTTATCTGTTACAAATGAAATAGCAAAATAAAACATCCATCCATCCATTTTTTGTAACCACTTGTCCTATTCAGGGTCACAGAGGGTCTGGAGAATATTCTGGAGGCTATGGGGGCAAGGCAGGGAGCAACCCAGGATGGGGCGCCAACCTATCGCAGGGCACTCTCACACACCATTTGCTCACATATGCGCACCTACAGGCAATTTGCCATCTCCAATTAACCTTAGCATGTTTTTGGACTGTGGGAGGAAACTGATGTACCGGGAGGAAACACCACAATAAAATTTGTTTTATTATGTTAATAACATTTAAAAGAACTTAATATCACCACAATACATACAAACCCTATAGTTTATTTTTTTTAAGTATTATCTATACCAATTGCCTTTCAATAGTGTAATGTGTTTATGTCCTATATACATTTGCAGTGGCATTTAACATGACAGACATGGCTTTAGAGCTGTTTCAATTTAATGACTGTAGACCTTATTGAATAAGCCATTATTGATGATCAGCAGTAATTTCGCTGGTCCCTCTTACTGTGAAATACACAGTGTCCTGCAATAGTCTCTTCTCTGCACAGGAAGAGCAAGCAATCCAGTCCCATGCCTGTTTTGTATGGTAACCAAAATATATTAATCTGTTAACCCATCTAATCACTAATAAATAATTATCCAGCGCAGGTTCTTGATAATCCTGGAGCTTATCCCAGGAAGCATGGGGAACAAGACAAAAGGCACCACAAATGGGATGCCAATCAATTGCACCACATGCACAAACACAATTACAGCAATTATTAAACATCACTTCCCCTAAGCATTTGTTTTTGGATTACAGGTGGAAACCTGAATACCCAAAGGAAACTTACAATAACACATCAAAAAGTTGAAAATATTAATAATAACAATAACAGTTGCAACATATAATCGTTCCTTGTATTTGCTGGTCTGCTTTCAGACTGTTGTGAGCTACAGTACTATAAATATTTTTTGGAGTGGGTGGGAGTGGAAAGCCTCTTGGGAAAACATGTGAATGCAGATATTCAGATATAACGACGATGGGACTGAAACCTATATACCTATAACCCAGAAACTTGAGGACAACAAAACTACACGCCTAGCAACAGTAATCACAGAGTCTGTTTGCTTTTGAAAAACTCAGGTATAACCTTCCTCTGCCTCTTCATTTTTTTTCAAAATCATCAAAGTCTGCTTGCCTCACGATACACATTTTTGCCTTTTGATGCATGTGGAGATTTGGCTGCTGCTGCTGCTGATGTAAGATTAACAGTCTAAAAATACAGTTGATTGGTATATAATATATCAAATCATAACACTTAATGAGAGAGTAATATTATTTGCTTTGTCTAAAAATAACATTTTCATAAAAAAAATATTTGGGATTTTATTAATAATTTTTTTTTGGCTGGCATTAAATTATTTGTGGGTCTTTACTGTATTCCTAGTCATGCCACAAAAGTCAGCCGGACAGGCCTGAGTGGTCTCACCAATTCTGCGGTCCATTCTGAGCCAGCATGCTAACTTGGCATGAACTTGCTGATTTTCTTCTATAGCACGACGTGAGGAGAGCCCTGAAACATGTGAACGGGAGGAAGCCTGCAGGCCCTGATGGCATCCCAGGGTGTGTCATAAAGTCCTGCACTGATCAGCTACCCCCAGTGTTCACCTCTATCTTCAGTGCCTGACAGATTCCATCATCCCAACATGCCTCAAGAGATCCATGACTGGTCCTGTACTCAAGAAGAACAACCCAGCCTGCCTATGACCCAGCCTGATTCCTGTCCTGTTGCACTGACCCCTGTAGTGATTAAGTGCTTTGAGAAAAAAAATAAATAAATAAAAATACATTTTTATAGGCGCCTCCAAGACACTGAAAGGCACTGTACAATCACAATAAAAAACAGTCACAATATAAAATAATAAAGAAGTATTAATACAAGATTGAATTAATACATTTATACTGAATAAGCAGGCTTAAAAAGGTGTGTTTTAAGGGATGATTTAAAGGTAGGAAGAGAGTCAATGTTACAAATGTCTTGTGGAAGAGAGTTCCAGAAATGAGGGGCCACTTGGCTGGAAACTCTAAACCCCATGGAGATATGGCAGCTGCAGCTCCGAGGTCTGCAGAACCCAGCAGAGAGTGATATGGTGTGCCAAGGGAATCACCATGACAAAACTGCCCACCCTGCAGGACATCTATATCCAGCTATGTAGGTCCAGGGCATTAAGCATTATCAGAGACACTCAGCACCCTGCAGGACATTTACATCTAGCTCTGCAGGTCCAGGGCATTAAGCATTATCAGAGACACTCAGCACCCTGCAGGACATTTACATCTAGCTCTGCAGGTCCAGGGCATTAAGCATTATCAGGGACACTCAGCACCCTGCAGAACATCTACATCCAGAGATGCAGGTCCAGGGCATTAAGCATTATCAGAGACACTCACCACCCTGCAGGACATCTACATCCAGCACTCAGGTAAGGCCTCTGGAGCCTTATGGCTGGGACTGAGAGACTGAGAAGCTTCTACCCCCAGATCAATAGAATCATTAACACCAACTGCATTTTAAGTATTTCTAATTTTCTTTACTTTTATATACTTTTTATATATTACTATATGTTTAGTAGTCGGTGCCAGTAGTGGCAGAAACCCCCGTACCCCGATGGTGGACACCAGAGGTGAGGGGGGCTATCAAGCTGAAGAAGGAGGCCTACTGGTAATTATTAGCCTGGGGGTCTCCGGAGGCCGCTGACAGGTACCGGCAAGCCAGGCGGAACACGGCTCGGGCGGCTGCGGAAGCAGAATCCTGGGTGCGGGAGGAGGTCAGTGAAGTCATGGAAAGTGACTTTCAGTCGGCCTCAAAAAGGTTCTGGCAAACCATCTGGAATATCAGGAGGGGGAAGCAGCTCCTGGTTCCTACTGTTTACAGTTGTATTAGGACGCGCTCGAGGACGATTACATTGTTCACTGTTCACTGAGGTATTGATTGATGCTGATCGTGTATGGACTAATCATCCCGAGATTCAAATACGTCATCCATGATTCACCCATAATATTATTGTGCCATGGTTGAACTGCACAAACATGTTTTTCATTGATCACTTATATAGCTTGTTTTTCACAAATAACTTGTTTTGCGGAACACGTATCTCATCCTAGGACACTTATCTTGCTTTTGGGGAAGAAGAGAGAGCGTTGCCCAAGGACGCTTGCCTTGTTAAGAAGAGAGAGCGTTGCCCAAGGGCGCTTGCCTTGTTTTTCTATAAATTAAAAGAGAAAGTGTTACTTAGGTATGCCCTGTAGCTGCAGGCCGTTTCACTCCAATGAGATGGGAATTGGAGAACTGAGAGCGCATTGCCTGAGGGGAGGGGAGAGCCTGGCCAGCCCATTCCCTGCCCACACACATACAGTAGCTTTCTCAATTTAGTATAACTTGTATCACTTTTAATAAAATATTTCTGAACGGACCGAAGCGTGCCTGTTTGTTCCTTCGAGAGCCCGATACCCCCCTTTCACATTAAAACAACAGTGGGGAGGGGGTGCTGTTGACCTCACCTTGGACATCACCTGGAGGTTGAAGGAATACTTTGAGGATCTCCTCAACCATGCCTCAGATACATCTACGGACACCGCCTACGAGACATCAGAGGGCACGGGGCCAGAGGGGGCTGGGGCGGACTTGCCCATCACTGAGATTGAAGTTGCCAGGGTGGTTAAAGAGCTCCTTAGCGGCTGGACCCCAGGGGTGGACGAGATTCGTCCAGGGTACCTGAAGGCTGTGGATGTTGTGGGGCTGTCATGGCTGATGCGCCTTCTCAACAGTGCGTGGAGGTCAGGGACAGTACCGCTGGATTGGCAAACCGGGGTGGTGGTCCCTTTATTTAAGAAAGGGGACCGGAGGGTGTGTTCCAACTACAGGGGGATCACACTTCTCAGCCTTCCTGGGAAAGTCTATTCCGGGGTACTGGAGAGGAGGGTGAGATCGATAGTCGAATCTCGGATTCAGGAGGAACAATGCGGTTTCGTCCTGGCCGTGGAACACTGGACCAGCTTTATACCCTATACCCGGTATAAATAATATATTATACCTGGACGTGTTCCCAGTGTGTGTTGGGCTCCTCCAGGGCTGCCCTTCGTCACCAGTCCTCTTTATAATATTTATAGACAGGATTTCTAGGCGCAGCCAGGGTGTTGAGGGTGTCCAGTTTGTTTATTGCATAGTGTGGAGCAGTGACATTTCATTGCTTGTGTACCACTGCATCCAAGCATGTCAGAAATATAAATCTTAAATCTTGAATCACACGTGGCCACGGTCTGGGACTGGATAATGGTCCAAATCAATGAGCTGGGCCTATCAGAAGCATTGGGATCTCCACCTTCCCCTGGTGCTGTGGGCAAACCGTTTCACGTTGCAGGACACAACCAGCTTCACGCCAGCCATGTTCCTCTTTGGTCAGAAGTTGAGGATGATAATGGAGGTGGCTTTTTGGCAGCTCCCAGATCTCCCACTCCAAATCCTACCTACCTGTGATGCAACATTAATTTCTTTATTGAAAATACTTCACAATAATCATTTAGAGAATTTAGGATATTAAATCAGCTACCCTTGTGAGAATGGATCAAAGCAGAAATGGACATGGCAGAGGGTGGGTTGGCAGAGTGATGTCACCTTTGGGCCCATCAGCAAGGAACCAGCAGACCCTGCTTTCACAATTATATGTCTCTTTGGTTAAAGGCATCTGCTAAACAGATGTAATACTGGTTCTGGGATCATTTTAAATTTATTCCACAAGCATAATTCTATAATGCATCCTGGTATTATTGGACTAAAAATAATATTAATTAAAAAAATCTGAGCTTTAAAAATCATTGAAGTTTTTAAACAATCACCTTTGCAAAAATGGAACAAAACAGAAAGGTGCAAGCTAAACTGATTCTGATTTATATTTTAAATTATGTCACCCACTATTTTAATACACTGGGAATATTTAGTCTTTGGTTAAAAAATACTTTGTAAAGCATTATAATGAAAACAGTTTTAGGTCATTTTCCTTTTCTACCTGCATACAGAGAATAATTTTTCCAAGGCTGTATTCTTGTGATGTTTTAACGACCTCACTTGTATATTTCTTTGGACAAAAGTGGTCAGCTAAATAAATAAATGCTAATGTAGAGTAAGTCGGTATGACAAGATGTATCATTTATGTCAGATCACAAACGCCCAGTATCCAACTTCTCATTCTGTGCTGCCTATTATTTACCAAATTTTTCTGCTAACTGGTTACTTGATGCTAGGGTAACTAGAATACCATGACTGTCAAGTTCTTATGCAGGTTAGCTCTCCATTCAAAATACAAACTCAGTCAATAATCAATCACCCACTTTATTAATGTACCGTTAGATAAAACTTTGGAAATATTATTGCTTTTAAATATTATACTGGAAACCAAGCTTTCTATCCAATATGATAAATATCTCTTGGCTACATTCTGGTATCTTTCACAGATTTCAAAATCTGTTCTTGCTGAAGGCTGAACCAAGTAAGCTACTTCTATATGGGGTGAGAGAAAAATAACATTGTATTAATTAAAACATTTCAGCGATGACGCTGATGGATTTTATTTCTCATTCACAGAGGGCTACTGTTTGAAAAAAAGGTATTTATTCATATAAATCATTTTTACACATCTTACCCTGGAAACTCATCAACAACAAAATATACATTATCATAAACATACAAACAGAAATAAACACGTATAGTAAGCAAAAGCTCTCAATATACCTCTCACTTACTAAACACCATGCTTATGAAAATGTTTTAATTATGTGATGATGTTTCTATTAAAGAACGGATTTAAAGCACAGTATTCCCTGAGGCATAAGTGTACCACTATAAAATCGATTCATTATTACCATATTTGTCTTTTGCCAACATAGATATTGTAGTTACTCAATCAATACCACTTTGTCTTGGACTGAAATATTGAAGATATCACTTAATCAAATACACTCTGCATCTGGTCAACTGATACTCTATAGGAATTCAAAAATGTTGTATATGCTAAAATAAAGTAATGACAGTAAGATAACAGTAATTTGAGTCACTGCAATCAGTGAAAATGACAAAATCACAGAGTATTGAAAAACATAAAAAAAAATTAACTCCAAAAATGAGTTAAAAAATTGGGTACAGCTCGAATGGCACATGAAAGAACCTATGCTTGAAATTCTAATACATAACTGTATCACAAGCTTCGTAGCAGACACCAAGTTTTTGTGTATTGAGAAGTATGGTCATTATTTAACTTTTATTCTGTATCCCATGGTTAATGACCCAGCCGACTCTTGCGGCCCCTTGTGAGCCCATGTTTCTCGATGGGACCGTAAAGCTAACCAGGTCAAAGAAAGGATGACCAGGGCTCTGTCCAGGCTTCTTACAGTGGCTTCTTTTTCAGGGCGAAGACAGAAACGAAGAGGAGGATTTCCATTAATGCAGGGAGAGCACTGTGAGCAAGGAACACAATAATGTCAGCATTCTCACGTCTCTTTAATAAAGTGGGTACAAAAGGAACTACTACTGCAAAGCTATAGCCAAAAAATATTTTCAGAGCAGGGTTATTTGTGTCCAGTTAAAGAGCACAATCTCTCTCTCACTCACATGATTATATATATATATATATATATATATGAAACCTTACATAGACTGAATATTATTGTCAACATTAAGATTCCCCATCTTCATAACAGATACTTCCAAGTTTGAAAAGGTAATACATCTATAATGCACTATAGATATCTTCATAATGCATTATAATGGTCAGTTTAAGAATTGAGGATGCTTTGTACTGCATTATGAAGGTATTGATAGTGCATTATAGCAGCTTCACAGAGCATTCATAATGCACAATAAACATGGTTATAATGTGCAATACCTTTTTATAAATTACCTTTTATAAATAGTTATAGCTATGTTTATAATGCTTTATGAATGCATTATAATGAATTATGAAGGCATCTGTAATGCATTCTACATGACTGCTTTAAAGTGTTACCGAACAATCTAACCTAAAATGTAATGTCTTAATCCAAGGGACCTTGCATATATCTCAAGCTTGATTTATGAGACCTGGGGGAGTCTGATTTTTCTACCTGCAGAAGGTGAACACAAACCAATACGTCCAGCACTCCCACTGCTGAAAGACGAAGAAAGACAGGCACACGGAGGCGCTGCAGTGGGCAGCCAGTGCTGACAGGAAAGGCGAGTCAGGGATGGAAAACCATGGTGCATTGCAGGATGGCCAAACATATACATAAAAGGTGAGTGACACTAACCTGCAGAAGCCAAAGATCCACCAGTAGATGGCACAACTCCACTGCTCAAAGAGAAAGAAGAGTAGTGCAACAGATGCACTGGCATGGGCTGCGATGGCTAAAGTGTGACAGGTGTGGTGTGTTTGGTGGGAGAAAAGGCAGTCAGGGAACTGTAACATAAAAACTAATTATAAACACGGCTCTGGTCCACCCTACCCTTTAAACATTATATGTGCCAGTATGAATTTTAGTCACGAATCCTTTGTCATAGTCACTCACCAGATCATGCTATTACTGGTTTATCTTTTCACTTATTCTGTCCATCTTCCACTCACTTATATATTTAGCATAAAGCACAAGCCAAGGCTACACTCTGGACAGGATGTCAGGGAAAATGCTATATAGTAGATTCATAGACACCAGTCATCCTAAATGGGTGACATGGTGGCCCAGTATGTAGCACTGTTGCCTCACACACCTGGACTTCAGAGTTAAAATCACACCTTGGGCATGTGCGTGTGAAGTCTGCATGTTTCACCTGCGTCATGAGGGTTTCTTCTGGGTATCCCACTTTCCTCCAGCCATCAAAAGACATGTGATTAGTCCAACTCTAAATTCCTCAGTGTGTCTGAATGTGCCCTGTGATGGACTGGAATTATACCCAAGGCATACCCCTGTTCTGTGCCAAATGTTACCCCCTAATCACAGAAATATGAGGTAACACCATGTTGCCCTTCACGTAGCGATTTGAATTATCTTAGCACAAAATGCAAGCATGATTAATGGAAATCTAATGGAAGACTTCGACTTAATGGAAGATTAAGGTGATTTTAGTGTTTGATGTCTTATTCAGGATTTCCTCAAAGGGACTGGTCTTGTGAAACGGTTGTAAATATTAAAAAATATGTAGTGTTCCTGTATAATTAGATAACTGAATGTCACCCAGACAAATTTATACGATTAGTGTTATTAATATTATTACAGTGAATCAGTGGGCAGCACTACTGCTTTACACCACCAGGGACGGATGTCTGTTGAGTCTGCATGATCTCCCCTTGTTGAATATTGGGGCTGAGTAAAACGGCATCTCTAAATTGCCTGTAGTGTATGACTGTGTGTATGAGACCTGAGGTGGACTGGGATGTTACGCTGCCTGGGATAAGCTCCAAGATAAATGGTTGGAAGACAAGTGGATGGTTAATATTGAGAATCATTCTGGAAGTCTCAGTGTATTGGCAGTCAGCTCTGGAGTGACGCTGGTGAAGGTTGAACTGACTGAAGTGGAGTAGAAAGTGCATGGTAAAAGTCTGTACTCACTAGTGTATGGAAAAGGATACAGAGAAGGCTCTGGGTGCTGTTGAACATAGATACTCCAGAGAAGAATCCTGCCAACTCAATGGCAAACAGGCCAAGGGTCACAGACAATGCAACCACCAATCTGAGGGAAGAGACAGAGAGATGGAGCAGCTAAATGTCACACTGGTACCATCTGCCCATACGAGTACATACAAAAAAAAATAACCATAAAGAAAATGGTGGGAAATATACACTTTTATTTTTCTCATAACTTACAAATACTTTTACTTAACCTCATAGCTCTGTGTCAGATATTGAATGTTAAATCTGTAGTAAGGCTGCACCATACTGGAAAAAACCTGGAATAGCCATATTTGAAAATTTTGCAAGAAGAATTCATAAAACAACAGTTTCTCAAATAAGTTGGTGGTGCTGCCACAAGCTATGCCAGCAAATCACTTGCTTTTGCTGTCGTCTATGGGATCCATAATATTTGTTAAATTTCTCACAAACACCGCACACTGTCCATGAGTGACAGCAAGGATGAGAATGATTATGATTGGCTCAGAGAACGCATGCAGAGCCCACACAAAAGCAGCAGGAGTAAACTTTAAACTCATTTTGTAACATATACTAAATAATCTTGAAAAAGAACAATCATTAAAATTACAATGATTGCCAAGTATTTTCTGATGGAGTAAAATGATTCAGCATAACCTATTGATGGTCTCCACCAAGTTATCATGGTTCTTGTGATGTGACAACTGTACGTGCATAACATGAGGTCTTGGTATTAACTCTGCTCTGTAGATATCTGAGGGGACTAAAGAATTTACAGTAATCTTAATTGCCATTTTTGCTACCATATATTTCTCAGGGTAATAGTGTTCTTCCAGGGTGCCACAGAGGCTCAGTGGATAACACTGTTGCACCTCCAAGTTTGGAAAATCAAATTCCACCCCTTTTCAGTGTGAAGTTTAGATATTCTCTGAGTCTTTTGTGGATTTCCTCTGGTGGTCCAAAGACATGCAATTAGTTGAAATGGCATTTCTAAAATTGCCTACAGTATATTATTATGGGTGTGAGACTTGGCATCCTGGTGGACTGGCATCCTGCCTTGTGATGTCTGGGAAAGGCTCCAGACCTCATGTGACCCTTGCTGGATAAGCAGTGGAAAGATGGATAATTGGATCGAGCCGAAACAATGTTAATGGTGTATAATGTATGCATCTCCTCAGGTGTTCCAGGCAACATAATAGTGCTATCACTTTTGGAGAGTTGCAAAAGGACACTTATGACCATCCATCACATTCCAAGGTAAGGGTTTTGTCTCACTGCGTGTCCTGGCTCCTGTATTCATCCTGACTGAAGTCCAGAGGCAGGCAGGCCCGGACATTGTTGTCCTAATAGGAAAAGATCTTTCAATCTTTCAACAAACCATTTGCACAGTTGAATACATTAAAATATGACCGTGGCAATCATCCCTTAAAATTAATTCAAAGATGTGCCATTATAACACTTTTTAAGTGACAAAAGTAATAAGAAAGAAAGACAAAAACTCATAATGGACCTTGTTTCACAATGTTGAGAGGGTGTGGAAGGTTCACTCCTGTCCATAAATACTCAATGCAAATGTGCTTTCTTTCGGGACAGAGAACCAGGTTGATACCTCGCTAGGTATTTAAAACAAAGAAAACTCATACCCTGGACCAGAAGATGGTGATTACGATGACCAGGTGGGCTGTGAGCGTGAGGAATCGGGCTGGGACCAGGCTATGGATTGCCGACATGGTGATAAATCCCGCGACTTCGGAACTGCCACACGCAAATACAGAGATAAAGAGAAAGATCATACTCATCCCACTACGTGGCCAATTACGTTTGATAGCGCATAAAAACCAAATACCGAAATATTCACTAGTGTTTTAACCTAAAGCAAAAATATATTTAAGAAACCATGAACAGGGCAGTTTGACTGAAATGCATGTTGTAATTCTGCTGAAATGCTAATTGTATGAAAACGTTTGTCTGGCAGGCATGTTCTGCCTCAAAAATTCAAAAATTAGTTTATAATAGTTAGATTATAAACTGATTATATGAATTAAATTAAACTACATCGACTATAGTACTGGAAAAACTAAACATTTAGTAAACCGCACAGTCGTCGGCTTGATGACCACTTTATATAACTATCTAATAACTGTATATTTCCATAGAATACAGAAAAAGTATGATGAATTTCACTGTTTTAATGGCCCGATACGACATTTGTGCCTTTTAAACTAGGTGTTACCTTCATTAGGTTTATACAATTTAAGTTAAAAACTTAAGGAAAATTGGATTTCATGACCACAATTCAAGGGATCAAATGTGCTTAATGTTTAGCTAGGGCTGGCTAACTGGTTGACTTTGCAGAAAACAACGCGACTAAACAAAATCAAGATATGTATTCATATATACTGTATGCCATCTACACCCCATGACATTTTAAACGTTGTTATTAGCTACATAAGCAGTTAAAAATAATTACCTAGCTACTTACGGCAATACTCCAACAAGCAAGCAGCATATAACGTTTCCAAGAGCATGACGCCGACACGTTGCTATAACAATGAATTTGTTCTCGCGAGATCTTGTTTTAGTAAACATCCGCTGCTTCTAAAGACTTGTAAATTCACACTCAGCGACTCGCGAATTTCGAGGTGCTTTCCCGCTAAGTTCCCGTCCTCAAGAGGTCAGTGCTGTGCCACTGTCAAATCGTCACTTGCATGAGGGCTATCTCGCAGTCATTTTGAGTATTTTAAGCACACTTTCCATAAGACCGCATTTCTGTAGGTTTTGCATGAGGGAATTACCCACAGTTCATAGCGTTGTCACGTGTAACACAGTGGAGACCCGGAAGTGTAAAGTGTAAAGTGTAAACAAACCGTAACAGTTTTCAAAACCGTGTACTGTATTGCGCAGATTGAACAAGTGAAACGGAAGGTGGGAAGACAAATGCAGCTGTAAGATTATTTGCGTGAGCGTTAGAGTCTGAAAGCGTGTCACGCCAGATGCGGGAGTTTTCAAGCCCGATTTTAATCAGCCATTTTTGATGAGCCATTCGGCGTGATTTTGGTTAATGGTTTTATACAATAAACATTTTGAGCCACAATTGGCAAGGTACATACAATGTTACTTTCACCCCCCGCCCCCCAAACTGAAAGAAAGATATGTTTTAGAGGGACTTTAGTGCTATCCATCCATCTAGGTTGTTCTGTTGGAAGTTGGCTAGTTTTGGAAATATTGGTCATAGAAATGTTGGTCTTTTCTTGAATATATGGGACTTAATAGCTTTCTTTCTGTGGTGTTTAAGACGCCAAAAAAAAAAAGAATACATTTGAGCACCATCAATATCTCTTACCAGAACTCATGACCCGAGTACTCAATCCACACACTTTGTAGTGAGGTTTAATTTAGGAACTACTACTTTCTACCATATTCCACACACCAATCATATCACTGCACAAAAGATGTACTCATATCTTCTGCACAGTGATAGGCAGCTCTCAACTTGTTCAGGATCCAAAACCAGCAATGACGGAATCCAAACAATGTGCCAAGTCACAAATGCAGTAAATATAGATTTTGTTAAAGTAACATCTGTGTGTGAGTTATACTTTGGTCATCATGGAAGTGGATTTTTTTTAAACCATATGTAGGCTAATAGGAATATGTGCACTTTGTCTACCTACAAATGGAGATAAAGGGAGACTGGGAACGCTTGTATAGAGGCACTGGGTTGCGTGTGCGTGTGAGGGGACTCCCACCTGCAGCAATCACATGCTGTGAGTAGTTTGTGATGATTGACACAGTTTGATGAGATCAGATATCACGGTATCCAACCGTACTCAGGGATGCTACTTGGTTTTCTCCTGAAAAGTTGGGGAGGTGGTGATTGATGGTGTTTCCCCCAACGTCTGTGCCCCCGAGAACAACAGTAGAGCCAGAAATCACAGTGTGGGTGTGCTGGTAGGAAATCAGTTTGGTCCAGTCTGTAACAAGATAATACATTTTAGGGAGGACACTTTAAGCTAGGACAGGATTTGTAAACCAGCATTTCAATTAAAAGGACCTGGATTTTACTTAAGGGTGGAGAAGTTGATCCATGGAAGTCTGGTGTGGGTACAGGTTTTTGGGATGACCTTTCAATCAGCCAATAACAGTGGGTCACCAGGGCTGGAATTGTGAAGCACTAATTTATTATTGGCTGATTGATAGGTCATCCTAAAAACCTGCAGAGACACCGGCCCTCCTTGGAACAGGTTCCCCACCCCTGACTTAAGGGATATGTCCAGCCCCGATGTATCGTTGCAATATGTTTATTCAAATGGAAACAGTGGTGCATTGAGCACCCTGTTGTGTTACATAAGAGTTGCAACTATGGCTAGGATCCACTGTAGCCACTGGCTTTGTAATTCGACGGGGTATCGTCATAGCCGAAATTATCGGCACCCCTGGAATTTTTCCAGAAAATGCACCATTTCTCCCAGAAAATTGTTACAATTACAAATGTTTTGGTATACACATTTATTTCCTTTATGTGCATTGGAACGACACAAAAAACAGAATTTTTTTTTACATCATTTCACACAAAACTCAAAAACTGGGCTGGACAAAATTATTGGCACCCTCTACTTAATATTTGGTTGCACGCCCTTTGGAAAAAATAACTGAAATCAATCGCTTCCTGTAACCATCAACAAGCTTGTTACACCTTTCAACTGGAATTTTCGACCAGTCTTCTTTTGCAAACTGCTCAAGGTCTCTCAGATTTGTCTTCTCCCAACGGCAATTTTGAGATCTCTCCATAAGTGTTCAATTGGATTTAGATCTGGACTCATTGCTGGTCACTCTCCAGCGCTTTTTCTTCAACCATTTCTGGTTGCTTTTAGAGGTATGTTTGGGGTCATTGTCCTGCTGGAACACCGATGACCTCTAACGCAGACCCAGCTTTCTGACACTGGGCCCTACATTGCACCCCAAAATCATTTGGTAGTCTGTAGATTTCATGATGCCTTGCACACAGTTAAGGCATCCAGTCCCAGAGGAGATGACCCCCTAGATCAGGGGTGGGCAATCTTATCCAGAAATGGCCGCTGTGTATGCGGGTTTTTGCTGCAAATCCCTAATTAGATTACTAACTAGAGGACTGATTGGTTGAAGAGTCCTCACATCTGGGTTTGAACAGCTGACCTACAGGTTATCCCAAAAACCTGCATACACACCGGCCTTTTGCAGATAGGATTGCCCACCTCTGCCCTAGATTATTGGACCCAACTTTGCTATATTACCTTTATAATTTGAGCTGACAAAGACATGTCTCTCCATTCCACTCCATGAACCTCACCAGCAGCAAAAATGTATCATTCACAATTAATTATTTGACCACCAGATGTCACTGTGGTGAAATATTCCAAATGTTCCAAATGGTTTCTTTTTTTGTCCTTTGTTTCAGATGTTTTGTTGTCTTGAACGTTCCACTTCTGCTGTCACTAGTAATACCTCTGACACACCCACCAACTCACACACATCACTATTAGCAGTAACCAACTCACAGCACAATTAGCTGGAACCAGGTAACACAGGGAGCAGACCTAGAAACTAAACAGAACAACAACATGCAGCTACTTGGCACAATGACTGACTGGGGGAAAGAACAAATTCAGGCACTTAAATATTAAATTAATACACTGACTACACCAGATTAATGAAAAGATAGGCGTGGACAGATAACGGACCTATCACTGGGGCGTGGGACAAGGAACAACAGACAATTAACAATCACCAGTCATTGGAAAACCTGGAAAGCAGGCAACAGGTGGAACTGATAACAAACTTAATCATGAAACCAAAAGATTTAACAGATTACCAACAGCGAGGGGTACAATTGGCTGACTCTTGAGGGTACAGCACCAGTGACAAGCAAAGGTACTAATTTTTACCCTGTGTCCTGCCAGTGTGGAGCTGGAGGTTAAGGGCCTCAAGAGCTCATTGTCCTGTGACCATTCTGCTAAGGCCAAGGCTCAAACCAACGACCTTCCAGTCAGGGGCACAGAGATAGGCTGAGCCACTCACTGCCAACTGTAGTAGGAAAGCCTGTTTTTATTTTGCTCGTCTTGCAAAACACTCGCAGACCAAGTTACTCGCAATCCAAGGTTTTACTGTATTTTAAAATCTGCTAATTTGTTAACATTATCAGCAGTGAAAGTAAATGTAAATTTAAGCAGATGGCATCGATCCAATACGTACTATTGGGCTAAAACTGGCAAAAAATGCTTGGTGGTGGGGTTGGAGTAAGGAACTGATCTGATTTTCCATCAGGGAGAGGTCTAGCCTGAAAAACTGCAAAAATGCTTGTAGCCTTAGTGCCACATTCCATGGACAGAAGTGAGGGTGACATGATGGCTAGTTGCTGAGCAACACATGTGCATCGGAGCTGTCATGTCGGCTCTGGGGAAATACAGTAGCCCAGCACATTCGCTCATTTGACATTTGTGGTTTCGTGAATTGGCATGAATGACTAAAGAGCAATAATTTTGGAGCTTGCTGAAAGATTTATTAGTTTAAGTGCATTCTGTATTTTGGGTCTTGGCTAGGGGATGCCGTGTAAAAGCCTCACTCACGTGTTAGTGTGGAAGTAAAAAACCTATACTCACTTTCCTCTCTCTAAATTCTGTTTGGCACTAGTTATGAAGTAAATTTGTTGACTCTTATGGCTTTCGGCGGGGAAGCAGCACAGATGCCATGAAGTTGGGGAAAAATAGGTTTATTCAGGGAAATCACCAAACACAGCACAGAATGCAGGAACAAACGTCAGTGACCGGACAGGGGTAAGACTTGGAAGCACTAAATACCAGAATTGATTAACAAAAACTAGACACAGCTGAGAACACCGGGATTCCACATGAGGTAACAATAAGGGGGCGTGGCACAAAGGAGGATCGGATGAGCAGGTCATGACACTGACACAAATTGAGTAAGATAAAATTTGTTTTATTAAGGCAGCGCACCCTGGATTATCGCTGTTCCAAAGAGTATCCCTGTTCCAAAAAAGTGAACCTTCAAACAAAGAAAATGCTCAGATTTATTTTTACATTTCTACAATTCCCCTAAAAAAACAATCTTTTACCCCATTGGTCAAGACAGGGGCTCTTGTCTGTGTGCAGAGTAGGTGATGACCTCAAAGAGGATGACGTTGTGCAGCCCTGCATTCCTTTAGGCCCATGGCCAGTCAGCCAATCACCACCAGTTGCCCCCGGCCCTTGCTAACCCCTTATATCATGTCCCCATGTTAAACAATACTATGCAATCAAGCAAACGAAACTACCCATATCTCATCATATATTTGGTCCATTAATCTGTTTTATTACAGCATATTCATTATACAATATGATCCTCAAAACAAGTGAATATAGCAAACACATAAGAACATAAACCTATTTGTCACCATTCGATATTTCTGATTGCTTTCCGCTGTAACATTGAGCAGCCACGCATCATGTTCTTTCAGCAAAGAAGGTTATGATTATCTTAACAAACAGGTAGTTTCAGCTCCCAGTTTCAGAGTTAGCACAAGTCACATACATAGACATTCTTCCTGCCTAAGGCCTAAGGCAGTGACAGCAATTCCATGCTGCACCTCTTCCCAGCCCTACTGGAATTTTTCATCCATATGACCTTAGAATCCTACATTTCTCACAGTAACTTTTAAACGTTTCAGTGCTGTTAATATAGCATTTCTAGCAATGAGCCAAAAATATAGTGCTCTCAGTGTGTACAGTAGCAACTGTGTACATACATAGGCGTAATTTAGATGGTTTGTATATTATATAAAAAGGTGTTTACAGGAAATGATTAAGTAATTTGACAAGCAAAGTGTACAGTACAGTACTGTTTGTTTAGAAATTTGTAATAAATAGACTTTATGTTATTGTTCCAGCTAACAGACTGTTATGGGTTAAGTTTGGGGGGGGGGCACAAGTATTATTCACAAATGATCACATTAACAGGAATATTCCACCCATAACCCTTGTGAATGTGAAGGGGGTGGATTTTTACTTTGGGAGTGTACTTTTACTTTAAAAAAGCAAAACTTCAGAGTATAATGTATGTAAAGCTAGGGCTGATTTATCTTAAGTCTGAACACAGTAAAATTAGTTAGTGATACTTAAATGATTGATGATGATTGATTTCTTTGTTATATTTAATTTGGCGACAGATTGCACAATTTGCACTATAAGACATACAGTGGTACCTCGGTTCTCGAACTTAATCCGTTCCGGACTCCGGCTCGAATCCTAAAAAGTTCGAGTTCTGATCGAATTTTCCCCATAAGAAATAATGGAAAACCAATTAATTGGTTCCCGGCACCCCAAAATTATATCTAAATATGTTTTTTTTTTTTTTAGCATTTTAACACAAAATGAACAGGATAAAACAAGAAGAGCATTTTTTTCTTAATGGCTTCCAACACGATAAAGATCTTATCCCAACATTACCCCTGTCCTGCCCCGATCGTCCGCTCCTTCCGTGTGCCACGCCCCCTCGTTAACCCCATGTGGAATCCCCGTGATCAGCTATTTCTGGTTGTTTTCATTAGTCCTCTGTATTAAGTCCGCGTTTCAGTTGTTTCCCCAGTCCGGTCATTGGGTGCGTTCGACTTGCTTACAGCGCTGGCTTAAAGCAACGCATTCTGATCCTGACGCAATGCATTACGGTTAGATGCATCATCCGGCTGCACAAACTGGAACCGCCTCCGTGACGACACACCTTTGCCCTTATTGGCTGAAGAGTTTAGTTACACGCATGACGTTTGTATCCCAGGCAGTTCCGATGCGTAATCTGCTATTTATCCTGAATATCACGTAAAGCAGTGAGAACTGGTTTTCAGTTTATTTACCTGGTAAAATAAAGTTTAACTGAATGACATAAATGCTCTAATAGTACACGTAAGTTAGTGGTTTATTTATTGTTACTTACTGTAATGTTGCGCTGCTTTATTTGGTTAATCGTCCAGTCTGTGAAGAAGGCATTCAAGTAAGAATTGCATTGTAGTATGACTCATTTTCTGGCGCGTATAATTTATATTAGGTCACCGTTCACGGTTCGACTTCTGATGTCAGATCGAGTTCTAGGTTTAACTGATTTGTTCGATTTTCAAGAAATTCGAGTTCTAGTGAGTTCAAGAACCGAGGTACCACTGTATTTCTATTCACTTTTGTGAAAGGTGTCACTGAATAAAACAAGACTTGTGTAAATCAAGTTGGCCATGGATTTCTTACTACAGCAGAGTGACATAGCTTTTGTTTGAGCAACATGACCATTATGTTTTTCTGTTCTTAGAGTACTCAAAAATGCTGGTACATCACTACATGCCGATAGTTTGCAATGTTAATTGAAATGTATTTATAGAAATATCTCAGTAAATGCTGAGTAGTTGATAAAGAGGAAAAAATATCAGATTGGTATTGGTGTCGGGAGATACTCAAAATATTAATATTGTTATCAGGATCAGATCATAAAAATGAATGATATTGTGGCATATCTAAATTTAAGTACTGTAAAAGTGAGTGTAAATGAAGACAACCAAGGTATATATGTATATAATTCAAAATAGTCCACAAATCTCATTGAGGGCAGATGAAAGACAGGAAGAGGTTTACCTCATTCCCGATAACTACGGAAACTGGATGAATCACATCAGGGGAGTAGTGGCAGGATGTCATCTGCCACGTGTCTATCAGGACAACAGCCAGCCCCTGGAACATGGCCCTGAGAGCACAGTCCAGCTGCCAGGAGAGCCAGTCACTGCCATAGATGTCCTTATAGCCCGTGTTGGCCGACTTGATGATGACCAGGGTGCGAGGAGCCCTCTGCAGCAGAGACACCACTGACCTGCGGATGATGGCCAGACGGTTCACGTAA